TTTTAGATAGCATTAATTATCCACTTATTAGGTATTACTAGCTTTTCATAGCATCCACATACTTCAGTGTTGCTGAGTGATGTTGTAGGCTATGCTGACTTAGCAGATGTGAAATCTGTTCTAGATCAAACTTCTAGAATTCATAGCCTGGTCAATCCTCACTTGAATTCTGTCTTCAAAACTGCTCTTCCTTGCAACCATATGGGTTGGGCAAGTGGTCAATGTAAATAATAAAGGGCTTAGAGGGAATGGCTGAAAGTTGCGCAGGCTGCCTATTTAGAATTTAATATCTTATGAGTTGGGTAGTTGTCTTATAAGCATAATCATGTCTGCACAAGATCTATTTTCCACACTGATCCCTCTCCTTTTTTTTTTTTTTTTGCAGCTAAATTTTCTTCTCACGGAGAATAGGCAACGAGAAATAGTTGATTCACAATGTGAAGGAGTGCAGACAGAAACTCTTGACGCATTGCTCAGGCTTGCTATTCAGTGTGTTTCTTCTAGTCCAGATGATCGGCCGACCATGCACCGAGTCGTCCAGTTCTTTGAGTCTGAGGTTATGACGCCATGTCCAAGTGACTTCGATGATTCCAATTCTGATTAACAGTAGTTTTTGAGAAGCACAAAGCATGGTGGAGTTCGTTTCATTGCAGAAGTAGTACCAACATCCAGGTGTGGTCTGTCTCTCTCTCTCTCTCGATTTCACTTATGCTGCCTGCTATTCATTATAGATAAATTAGAAGCTGCTCTCTACCATTGCCATCCATTTGTTCTTCTCTTGTGAGTAGTTTCATCAAATTCTTAATGATCCCTATGGTCCCTTCTACTTAATGATGATATGTGCTTTATTGTGCATGATTCTTACGTACGCCCAAGTTAGAGAAAATTCCACTAGTAATTTCCACTTCTTCCTTAATTGTAATTTCGTCTGTCCTCGTTTGGTATTTGATTGAACATGAGCGTCTGTACAAAATCAAATTGCTCCTTAAGTTATTCATCACTTTCCTTCTTTCTCTGTAAAGTGTGATTTTATTTAATGAATCAGCACATTGTATTATCTACGAACAATCTTATGAGTCTTGTAGTCTATAGCTTTCATTTGGCTCCCACTCCTATTCCTTCCCCTGGATCTCTCTACTCATGATTTTTGCCATCATCTTTCATCTTGGTTTTGTTTATTTTTATATTGTAAAATTATTTACGTGATTAAGAATTTCGAGGTTTGTGTTGTGAATGGATATCGAGACAGAGAAAATTGCTCATGAGATTGGGAGTAAGGCTCTGGATGGCATACCCCTACTGGTTTGACAACTTTTTGAAAAAAGTATTTTAATAACTATTTTTGTACCTTAAATTTTTAATTGTTTTAAAGATTTTTTTTTTTTGAAAAGTCAATTTCAACTTGTTTTTGCCTGTTATTAGAAATCATTGGTGAAGAGGGAGTGCGCAAAAAACTGTTATAAAAGCTACAACTAGCCTAAATCATGCAAGTCTGACAGTAAATTGACTGGAACAAGAAGTAATATTACAAAATCAAATTTTAACAACATTGAAAAGATATAATATGGTATTTTTAATGTCTTTGGAGCTCAATAAACACTATAATCTCTTCATGATGATATTATATATTTTTTAATGCATGTTATATATTATTTATATTCTAAATTTTATTTTAATTAAAAAAAAAACGAGAAATAGTTATCAAAAACCACCCTAAGAATTTTTAGCTATACCAACGCTATTTTTCTTGATGCACCTGTTTGCGTCACCATAAAAAAAACTCAATAATTTTATATAATTTAATAAAAAATATAAGGACAACAACAGTTGAAATGAATAAACGTGAGCTATAATTAGCATTTAACCTCAATTCTACTACCTTAAATAAATAAAATGTACGTAAAATATTTAAATGCTTTTAAAAAAATTAATTTACCTTGGAAAAAAATAATTACAATGAATAAATATTATAGATTTTTTTTTTCACAATATATTAATTTGGCTGCATATTTGAAATTTCTTTTAATTTTTCCGGTGCATTATCGTATTTTCACTATATTTGTACAAATTAAACCGAGAATGAAAGAAGAAATTAGGAGACATTTCTTCTATATTTCAAGCAACATAGAGATTATATTGAACCTTAGGAAAATTATTAGGTTTATTATAACATTCTACCATTTTTATTACAAAAAAAAAAAAAAAAAATAATAATCTATTAATTTATTTTTTGAAAAAAATATATAAAAAATGAAAAAAAAATGAAAAATGAAATAGGAAAAAGGACGAAAAAGACTTCATCGTCCACGTAGACATCTCTTATGAAATTATGGATGGTATAATTTATAGAGGTAAATTGACGAAAATATGATTATGTTAAATGAGAATCTTGGAAGATAGAGGGACAGTTTTGTCATTTTGATCCAGTCAACTTGGTTTCAATGGTTTCAATATTTATTGTGATAAAATAAAAGTGATGCATGGTTTTTTTGTGATCAGAATTTCCCAAATCGGATCGTCCGCTTCTTCTTCTCGAAATTTTGAAGGAAGAAGATGACCCGAGGAAAACAGAAGATCGAAGCTCAGAAGCGAAATGCGGAGAAGAATCAGAAGCCCAAGGGCTCACAATTCGAGGCCAGAGCCGTTGCCCTTAAAGTTATCTGCCCTATTTGCAAGGTTCTCATCTTCTCCAATCTCGTTGCTCTTATACGACTCTATTGGATTCGAGTGTTCATTTGTTCATTTTTTATCTCGATTCTGGTCTTAATTAATGTTATGTGTTGAAGCAACTGGCAATCCCATATCTGGCAACCAAAAGGAAATCATCCTTTTTCTTGCCTGTTCTCTGTTCTTGCTTTAAATACACTTCATATTTCTTGTTCTGTTGTTGGTCTCCATTCACAAGAAATTCGTTGGAATATGATCAATTTGGGGTTTTATTTTCACTTTCTGCCAGTAAGGACGTTGGCTCCCAAGTGGATGGATTGTAAGATCCCACGTCGGTTGGAAAGGAGAACGAAACATTGTCTATAAGGGTGTGGAAACATCTCCCTACTTTGAGAGCTATTGCTCAAAGTGGATAATAGCATACCATTGTAGGGTTTGTGATTCCTAACATGGTATAGAGTCATGCCCATGTCAATATAGAATTCTCAAATGTTGAACAAAGAAGTTGTGAGCCTCAAAGGTATAGTCAAAAGTGACTCAAATGTCGAACAAAGGGTGTACTTTGTTTGAGGACTCCAGAGAAGGAGTCGATCCTCGACTAAGGAGAGGTTGTTCGAGGGCTCCATAGACCTCAGAGGAGACTATATAGTGTACTTTATTCGAGGGGAGGATTTTTGAGGATGGTTGGGAGGGAGTCCCACGTTGGCTAATTTATGGAATGATCATGGGTTTATAAGAAAGGACTTGTATTAGAGCATATTATTTGTCTGAACCACCACGATTTTGTTTACTCGAGAAGGTTCGAGCCTTAAAGCTAGATAATATGAGGCCGGATTCTAAACTTCAAACTGTTCTGGCTATGTTGTAGCCTCGATATTGTCCTGAGAGGCCTTGTGAAAAATGCTGTATAGTCGTGTGTTTGTTGTATCAGATTATGATCGAGTTCATGTTGTTGGGAGAAAAGAACTTGATACTCTATATAAGTCCAAAATCACACCTCTATTGGTAAAACTTCAGAGGACGATTTCTTTTCTCTTCTCATTTGGGTTCCTAATTTGTCTGTTGAGTTCAAATTTTTTCTTTGTGATTGCTTTTCTTGGATGCTACCCAGTTCTCTACAAACTATTATGTTTAGCAAGTAGATTGATCTTGTTCTTGGGAAGAAGTGGAATACCCTGATTTTTCATTCTTCTCCATGTGTGGATTGATCGGGAGAGTTTCTACTTAAGAGCAATCGGCTCCTAGTGAGAACTGACATCCTGGTTGGTGCAAATTGAGATCTTGAAGCTAAGGTTAAGGCCCTTCCTAAAGCAGGAACATAGTTTCTTGTTCAAATCCAAAGTCCTCAGTCTCCTCCCCGAGTTAAGACTCGAGTTAAGACTGTAGTTCCAAATCCAGAATCTTAGACAATTCAACTTAATATAGCATAGCGGATATAATTTGATTCAGCTTAGAAGAAGAAAGGGGCATCTTTCCCTTGACTTTTGGGTTGCGAGTGCATGCGTCCATCACGGTTAGAGCTTTCATAGGTACCTTGTACGTAGTTAAGGTGAAGCTTTGTTTGGTCTTGATTCTAGACTAGGCTGGAAATAACCCCATGACTGACCTAGCTCAAATTTGTTGTTGATTCGGGCAGAATCCATTCATCTTGCTCTTCATACAATTACATACTAGAATCCATGTTTATCATATTTCTCTTCTAGAACTTTGTGAATTTATCTCGTTCTCGGGGTCGAAAATCACGAAACATACAGTCAATGTGGCCGTAAATGTTGAACTAGACATAGGAGGGAGTAAAAGAATGAAAGAAAAAGGTGAAGCTTTGTTTGGTCTTGATTCTAGACTAGGCTGGAAATAACCCATGACTGACCTAGCTCAAATTTGTAGTAATTTTGGTACTTACAAGATGAATTCAATAATCTTGTTCTTACCTCAGGTACAACTAGCAAATCATAACCAATTGGGCGATCATTATGCCTCCAAACATCCAAAGGAAAAGCCACCATCAGAATCGAGCTGAATCGTCGCTTGCACGTTGAAGTATGTGTGTCACTACATATTGAAGGCATTTCAAAGTTCTCTTATGTTCAGATCAATGAAAGTTGCTGGTATTGTCTTCATATTTATTGTTCTTAAAATGTACTAGAAAGAATGATGATTTGTTCTGTCACTTGTAAAATAAACCAAACTCTAGCATGCTTATTCCACATTCCCAGTCTTAAGTTTCTCTGTGCCTTAGAAAATATGGAATCCTTGAAAGAAATGGCCTTGTTTCCAGCATAAAATGATACAAATGAATAGGCTAATCATCACAGAAGAGAATAGAAAGGTGATCATAGTAATAAGATTCTTAATTCAAGCTAAACTTCATAGGTTTTGTTCAATACTGATAATGTATATAACAATGTATTCTTTTTTCTTCCAAGAACTATAAATTCCTGGGAGAAAACTGTTCAATCTCTGTATGCATACAATCAGGCTAGACACTTGTGAAAAATTGCATATGTGATATGTACTATCAGCCACCCCAAAGCAAAAAGGAAACCTGAATTTTTTATATCTACCATGCCTTCAAAAATAGTGTTGCTGTAACTACATTCTTCCTTTTTTGCTTCAACTATCCCATTCTCAGGAATCAGCACCGTTTTTTATATCATCGTCTCATAAATTATTTTCACGGTTGAGCTTGTTTAAAAGGTCTGTTAAGAGAGCATCCATTCCTTCAGCTCGGATATCTTGTCTTTTCTTTCTCTGTTCTTCTCTTTCCCTCCAAGCTTTCTCAGCCATTAACCTCTCCCTCACGAGCTTCTCCATCGAGTCACGCCATTCCTGCTCGAACATTCGTCGGTTGTTGTAATGTCTCTCAAGTATTTCCCTCCATTCCATTTCCATCCTCTGCTGCCACTGAAAGAAGCCCTTCAACAACTCTAGGATTTCATTACTAACCGAGCTACTTGAACTTTTAGAACCAGCTGTTCTTGAAGACTTTGCTGGGTGAGTTCCTATAGCCTTTCCCTTCTGTGAGTTGCTTTGAGTTGGGATCTCCTCCTCACTTTCTTCTTCATCAAGTTCTTTGAGCTCTGAATATTCTTCTAAACTTCTCTCCCTCCCTCTTTTCTTTGTTGCACTAGAACCTGCTTCAGGTTCATGGAGCAATCGGTGCATAGCTTTCTCCCTTACGGCAAATACTGCACGGATTTCCTCAAAAAATGGGCATTGCCAGCCAAACTCTTTATGGGTTGTCTCCTTCCCCTGTACAACCGTTATAAAATTAGAAACATATGACGGTGATTAAACAACATAAGCAATGCCAACTGCCTCAACTTCTAGGGGTATCTTTAGCTCATTGAGTTTTGGGGCCAAAATTGGACTTGACAAGTCAAACTAATTCTAGGCTATTTTATTACTAGAATTCTATGAAGAGTTTAGTCGGAATTACATGAAACGGATCTAAAAGTAAAAGATGTCTTTTCTACAAATACTAATGAACGAGAATTACTGCATATATGGGAAGCAATTAAATGTTTCGCCACTTATGACCAACCTCCCACATAAAGAAAGGGTTCAGGTTAATTTTTCACTCGCAATGTCGACCACACTCGATGTTTGAACTGTAATGGCACTGCAAGTTCTTGTTTGGAAACTTTAGTTTAAGAAGGTGCTTTAAAGAGAGAGCAGGAAGCTCAGTTAAGATGGGCTTTAGTGAACGAGAAACTTCCTGAATTAACTGCGCTTGTTTTTATCATAGGAGTTCATTGATCTCATGGATAAAACATAGAGTTAGAATGACAGATATCTGGTTTTTTTCCACGTGTAACGGCCCAAGCTCACTGCTAGCAAATATTATTCTCTTTGAGCTTTTTTCCACATGTTAATGTAACAGCCCAAGCTCACTTCTAGCAAATATTGTCCTTTTTAAGCTTTTTTCTACATGTTAATGTAACGGCTCAAGCTCATTGCTAGCAGTTATTGTCCTTTTTGGATTTTTCCTTCCGAGCTTCCCCTCAAGGTTTTTAAAACGCTTTTGCTAGGGAGAGGTTTCCACACCCTTATAAAGAATGCTTCGTTCTCCTCTCCATTTGATGTGGGATATCACAATCCATGCTACTTTGAAGCTCAACGTCCTCAATGACACACCGCCCGGTTTCTGGCTCTGATAACATTTGTAACAGTCCAAGCTCATTGCTAGCAGATATTGTCCTTCTTGGGTTTTCCCTTTCGAGCTTCCCCTCAAAGTTTTTAAAACACGTCTGCTAGGGAGAGGTTTCTACACCCTTATAAAGAATGCTTTGTTATCCTCCTCAACCAACGTGGGATCTCACAATCCACCCCCCTTCGAGGCTCAGTATCCTTGCTGGCACTCATTCCCTTCTTCAAACAATGTGAGACTCCCCAATCTACCTCCTTCGAGGCCCAGTGTCCTAACTGGCACACCGCCTCATGCCCACCCCCCTTCGAGGCTCAACCTCCTCATTGGCAAATCGCCTAGTGTCTGACTCTGATACCATTTGTAACGGCCAAAGGCACCGCTAGCAAATAGTCCTCTTTGAAATTTCCCTTTCGGGCTTCTCCTCAAGGTTTTATAAATAATGCTTTGTTCTCCTCCCCAACCGATATGGGATCTCCAGTTAAAATCCCTCTTCAATCGCCTTCTTGTTAATTCTAACTTCTACCCCTCCTCCCATCATGTGAATCCCGCATCTTCACGAAGCTGAAGTGTCAAAACAAAGTCAAGTTCTTTTTCTGGTGCATGTAGCTCTTGGTAAGTTAACACTTGTAACAATAGCAAGTTAAAGAAACCTAAGCCTGAAGTCTGCTTATCCCCTCTATGATGCAGCCTATCAGAATATAGGAAAAGGTATCACTGCCTTCTAGTTTTTTCAATAATTCTGTGGCTATCTCCTTCAACTTCTTGCTGGCCACACATTCATTAGGGTAAGGTGATAAGATAATGCAGCGCAATGCAGTCTTTGGCTATGGTACGTGGACAGGTCTTTGTTCAGAATGAAATCTGAGAACCAAATTCCATTAAATTTTAACCAGAAAGCCTTTTGGAATCAACTTCGGCTTTTCATCCATTGGGGTAGCTAAGAGATTAGAATTGAAAGACTGACCATTCATAGGTAATTAAGAGATTGTGTAAGAAAGATCTATTAGAGAAAACTAAAGAACAGTCAGATTTTCTAGAATCTCTTCTCACTTCGATTCCAGGGGAAATAAACCTACCAAGAAGATTGGACAGAAACAAGACTGGAAATGGAAGCATTAACACACTTTGACAAGACATACACCTAGGAAATTAAGTAGAATGATGCATCTTTTACAAGTAGTCGACAGATATTCAATTTTGCCACCGTGCCTGAGTTGATATGTACTCCTAGAACTGAAGAAAGCCATTTTGAGAGACAAATCTCCAAAAACAATGGTTGCTACCTCTTAGCAGTACCCTTCAATTCTAACCATTTTCTCCAAACCTCCTCTTACAGGCAATTACAGGCAGCTAGAGTTTTGAAAGGTCAAAACATGTCTATTTTGAATAAAGACTTTATGACATCTTGTCATTTTCTCGTCCGCATGTTGCGAGACATTATCAGCATTTTACTACCTTTCTCAGATTTAGCTTTAAGAATTTGCAACCATAAATGGCAAAATTGAACCCCATCGAAATCCACGAGAATCAAAATATCAAAGCAAGAACAGTCCAGATTCAGAGGAGCCCACTTGAAAGAAACATAACGGAGAACAGACTGATTCAAAAAAAAAATCCTCAAATGAATACGGAATGAAAACTGGACGAACCTTGTAGCGACTGAGGAGATTCTTCCACTTGCATTTGCACTGATAGGCGGTCCTCCAAAACCCTCGCTCTCTCATCCTTGCACTCGCCATGTCCCACAGTGTCTTCTTCTTCACCGCCGCACCTTCTCCGGTGGAAACCACCGTCAGGTCCCTCTCTAGGTCGGCTCGAATCCGGATGAACTCCCTTGTCTCCTCCTCGCTCCACTGGTGTTGCTGAGCCGTCGCCGCCATCGCGCTCGAGGTCATGGTTGATACTATTGCAGGGCTCTAGCTTCGGCTTCAGTGAAAACAGTGGACGGCGGTGACATCGGCGAACTCCGACGAGAAATTTAATGGTGGAAATTTGTGATTGACGAAGGCCCTCTTTCCATTATCGGCCTTTTCCGGCTTGCTTCTTTAAGAAGGAAAGGAATCGTTGAAATTTGGCGATCTTTTAATTTACTCGTCCACCTATGACTTTTGATCACTTGATAAGACATTGTTTTTCTTCCTTTTTCAAACTATGCTTTCAATTTGCCTGTCTAAGGAAAAATAAAAAATAATAAAATTTTAAAAATAAAAAATAATAGTTTTAAAATATTTTAAATCGAAAACTATGCCAGATATCACAGTCATATTCATCTAAGACGTGTTGTCTATAGTTGCATGTCGAATGATTCGGTTATACTTGTCTAGAACATGTTATCCATGGTCGCATGTCCGTTCTAAACCCCTTTTTACATGCTTATATGGGAGTGTATGACTGTTTACCAAAATCATGTCTATATTGGTTATGGCTAAAATATCTCAAAATGTACGGATATAATTAGTTGTCACTTCTTCCTACTCGGGTTATATGCTATCACAGTCATTATCGTTGTCTAATTGCTTTTAGCTTATAACATTATTTTCTTTTAAATTGTTTTTAAACATACTTCCTCGCTCACGTTTTCTAAAACATTTCTCACAAACGTGACTTGAGTCTCGATCATACGCTGACATTGCCTGCGAAGTTCGAATCTCTCATGATCGACTTGTTTGCTAGGTTAGAACAAGTGTTGCACAATTGTCATCCTGTTGCTATAAGAATGCGATTGTGACACGAGGCACGAGAATATATGTATGTATATATAGATACATACATATACATATATATATATATATTATATATATATGTATATGTATATGTATGTATATATATGTACGTACGTGTGTGTATCTATATATGTATGTATGTATATATATCTTACGTGCGCGTGTGCATATATATATATATATATTTATATATCATATACCTACCTATATAGATACATACACATATATATAGATACATATATATATATACGTACATATATATATATACATACATACATTTGATATATATACATACATACGATATATATATGGAGTGAAATTTGGTTAAGATTGGATTGAATCGAATAAAGAAGGCCTAACCCCAAATTGGATCATTCGTACGCCTATTCGCAAAGGAGCAGTCTGTAAGGAAAGGGAAAATTAGGCTGAGATTCGCTAATCGAATTTTACCTCAACAATCTCTCTCTCTCTCTCGCTTCCATCACTCTGTTATTTCTGTCGAGAGAGTCTTTCAAAAATCCCTTTCCTTCTAGGGTTTGGAGAATCTGGGCAACTCCTGCTCGTCTGTCATGTTTCCTCTCAGTTCCGTCCGATTCAAACCAGGATTTCTCTAATTAGCGCCAATTTTCCCCTTCAACCATATATCTACTCGGAATCCGACCCCATCTGTCGGTTCTTCAAATTTTCGCTCGTGTTTCATCATTCAATAGATAAGGGTTTCGCATTAATTATGATTACAATCTTCAAGCCCTTTATGTCTTTCATCGTAATCGTTCATAATCTTCGTGTATTTGGCCCTGGATTGAATCCCTTTGCACCCTACTGTGTCGCTCATCATTCCATTGCTGCTTCTCGCTAATTCTCTTCGCTTTCGTTTCTTCCCACGAATCCTCTTTAAGAATTTTAATTTTACTTTGTTCTTCCTAAGAATCATGTAATTCTTGTTTCTTTTTGGGTTCTGGGTTTATTGTTATAGACCATACTTCAATAAGAAATTTTCGAGGACGATTGAAGGGATTTCTATTTGTATTTTGTGGTTGACGAACTGTAGTGATCGAGGCTGTTTGAGTTGATCGAATTGGATTTGGATTGGAAGAACATGCCTCAGGAACAGAGGAGCTCGATTAGTCGAAGCCTTTCGAGAAGGCGTTCCTTCCGTTATGATGTGTTTAATACGGATGACAGGGGATGGACTTCACTCCACATTGGTGCGCGGAAGGGTGACCTCAAAGAGGTGAGTTTTGGATTCAATTGTTGTATGTTTTTCCCTTTTCATTGCCTTTACAGTTTTGTTGTCATTAATTTTATTGTGAAGAGAATTTCGTTTAATCATTGAAACTTCGAAAGACTGATATACTTGTTCAGTTTAGTATTTGGACGTTATTTGTGCGGTGAGATTGTTCCACACGGAAGGGGAAATATGTGACAAATGGTATTATACAGTTAAAACTTTTTGTAAGTTGGAATGTTGGCATAGTGATGTCGACGACGTTTTGTTTGTTGTCGAGATTTCCACCATGTCTTGAGAGAAGATAGATAGATGTTAATCCTTCTTTGATCTGTCAGCATAGTCAGACATTGGCATGTTGAATGGAATGTTGCATATCAAGTGAACTTTTTAACTCCATGGTTATTTCTTATGAGGATAATCGCGTTTACTAACCTCAATTCTGTAGGCCTCTTTTATCCTTTGATTTCTTTCTAGGAGTGTTGTTGTTTAGTTGTAGTTTCTGATCATTTTTGAGTTATGACCTGTGAATGCCTATTGTGTTTTTGTTTTATTCTGTGTGTGTGCGCGTGTGCGCGCATTTTTGGATGCAAAAAGGCCAAAATAATATATCGGTCCATGGAAAAGAGAAGCAACCCGAAGAGGATAGGAAAGAACTCCAACTATTGAGGATGAAAAAATTAAGGAATATGACCAAAAACTAACGGCACGAACGGAGACCTTGAAAGAGTAGCTTCCAAACCCTTCTACCTCCTTAAAAAACTCGTATTCGTTTCTAAGTAGATTTTCAATACATCTGCCAAGAACCTTGGTTTTGAGGTAAACTTCCAGTTGTTTCAGAAGTATGCAAACTTCTTCCAAAATAGTGCAACAAGAATGGATTGGAACCAAGGCCACCCAAAACCGGGACCAAAGGATGGTGACTGAATAAATCTATTACTTCTTTGCTCGTTTATTATTGAGTTGATAGGTGTTGGTGTTATTCATTTAGTGTTCTTGAATGTTCTTTTGCAAATATAATTGCTTGAAGGTATTATTCTCCCCTTGTCGGTCAGGTGAAGCGTCTGCTAAACGATGGAATGGATGTGAATGCATTAGCATGGGGCCCCAAATCAAAGGGGTTGACCCCCCTCCACCTTGCTGCTGAGGGTGGACATCTCGAAGTAATGGATGAATTGCTTGAACGTGGTGCCAACATTGATGCTAGAACTAAAGGTGCTTGTGGCTGTAAGTATCATTCTCTCTTTTATCCACTCATTACCCTTCAAATTGAATAAATATTACTGGAATTCATTTTTATTCATATTTGCTGAAATTGTCTGTTGGGTAGTTCTCTGGGATTAGATTTCAATTTTTACCAGAATTTTAACCACATTAACTCATTTTTATTTACGAACATCAAAATCAAGCAGTGAGTTAATCTTAAGCCTAAATTGACTGTTTGAAGTTGAGAAAAGAATATCTCGAGGAGTGGAGTATTTAATTCAATTCATAAACAGTTTTGCTATATTAAGTATGAATTAACCTATGGCTATTAGAATAGAAGCTGCAACCTATTTTTGCCCTCTGTTTATTCTTTCTATTCTGCCTTTTTAACTTAATTATGTTGGGTAAACGTTCATTTTATTGCTCCTGCGCCACAATCTTGGCTTTTGGGCGTCTAACTTAATCTTGTTGGGTAAAGTTTCATTTTGTGGCTCCTGCACCACATTCTTGGCGTTATCTTGTAATTATTGCGTTGGTGCTGCCATGGTGGCTGGGTTTTTCCATGTTTATGTTGTTCGAGTTCACAAGCAAGCGTGCACCACGGAGGTGTAGACCGTTGGCACCATCGATCTTGTTTTTCTTTGAACAAGATGATAAACAACCAAAATTTCTTTTTCTGTAGGTACCTAAATATTAGCAATAGGTTGGGTAAGAATACATGAGATGTTAACCGGTGTAGGTAAATAATAAAGTTGTGATAGTCACCTACTTAGGATTTAATATTCCACGAGTTATCTTGCAAATAAATGTAGTAAAGCCAGATAGTTGTCCCAGAATTGTCGAGGTGCAGACAAATTGGGTTAGATGCTCGCGAAGATTAAAAAAAGAGAGAATTTATGAGATGTTCTAGCCATGTATATTGCCTAAACATTCATTATGTTGAGAATGAACCCCACAGGGACACCTCTGCACAGTGCAGCCAAAGAGAGGAGGAGGGAAGCGGTTAAGTTCCTTGTGGAGAATGGAGCATTCTTGCCGGATGATATCAATGACTGCAGATTCAATCCCCCACTTCACTACTGTCCTGGTCTCGAGTGGGCGTATGACGAGATGAAGCGTCTTCAACACGAAACTGGTTCGTCTGCAGAGACATCTTGCTGCAGCTCTGAGAGCTGAAAACCCTTCTCACCCACCCACCCATCCTTACGTTGTTCTGTTGAGTTTGATTCTGTTTTTATCAAGACATCTATCTTGAACTTGCTGTGTGTCTGGTCAGTATTGCTTTGTTCTATGGAACCTACTTTTGAAGCGTGTTGTTACCCATAAACTGTGTTGTGTTTGCGAACCTTCGCCAAACATCGATCAATTTCAATTCTCGATTTCAATTCTCTCTTCTTTACTCTTTTGCGAATTGAGTTTGGTTGAAAGATTGTATTGGATCTCTGAGTACTCGTAACTCGAACATACAAACAATTCTATGATTAGGGGGAAAACAACTAAGATTAGAGAAGAAAACTAAGGCTCTAACTTCAATTATGAATATAGGCATAGATGGCTAAAAGTGCCCACACAACAAGGTGGGTGTGAGAAAAGAGGATGTTTGGGCATTTGTGGTATCAAAATATGCATATTTTGTGAAGAACATTGGGCCATTTGGTTGTACGTTTCAAGACAAGCTTCATTTATTGAAGCAAACTTAGCATTTGGAATCTTCAATCATTTTTTTCCTTAATCAATTTAGGTACGAACCACCCCAAATGATCAACTTTAGTTATAAAATTTGGAAAATAAAATTCAAAAACTATATATAATTTTAATCTTAATCTTAGATCAATGATAAAACATGTTAAAATAACCGTAATATGATCATGTTATTGGAGGTGTCCGAGAGTCACCCAAATGGTAAATTTTTATCTGAATTCTAGATATGGGACGTTTATAATAATTAACCATAAATGGGAAGTTAATATGGGGTTTGTAAGGTGAGATTATTTCTTTTAATGGAATGATGTGTAACACACGTGTAACTAACCCTATCAAAATCCTTAACATGAATCATTGGTACAGACTATATTCTCTAATTAAATATTGAACTTGCTTCCTTAATTAAATTAAAACGTCCATCAACCCTTATATATAATACATATCACTAAATTATTAACTTTTCAATTATTGGTCATTTCAAATTATTAAAAGAAAAATGGTTAGTAGAGTGCTAATACGATGAGATGGGACAAGTCGATAATTTTTTTCGACAATTATTTTATTTGTTCATATACATAATGTGATTTAGAGATCTTTTGTTTATTCCGAAAGATAGCCAAAGCCAGTCTGTTTTAATTAGACAGGCGTGAGAGTCTGAAACTGCAGAAAAAGTAGTGCGATGCATACGAGAAATAATGGCAAAAAACCCTTTGATAACACAGATCCCAAATCAGTAATTCTTTCAAAAACTTGATTCCATCAAACTCAATAACAGAACTCCATCTCGATCCATGCAAATTTCAAGTGAGAATTTCACAAGAACAATGATTAAAATAGAGCAGGAACGTCTCTATCCCGCTCCGTGAACATGAGAAGAACAAGAATATTTAAAATTTAAAAAAAAAAATGTTTTTGACTTTTCCCAGGTAGTGGATAACAGGCTCAACATCATCAAAATCATTACAATGAAAGAAGCCTTAATGGGGAGTGTCATGATTACAAAAGTCTTCCCTTTGGCTCCATTATATCTAATAAATCCCTTCCCCTATAAATACCCTTTGTTCTTCTTCACCCTCATCATCAATGGCTTCCATGCTGCCTATCATCTTCATCTTCCTCATCTTCACTTCACCTTCCTCAGGTACTTTCCATTATCACTTCAAATTCATAACTAATCTCAATCTAATTGCAAATGGCTCACATTCCATTGCAGGACGAGCTCATGGCCCGAGCCTCGAGCCAGGTTTAAACGAAAAACTAAACCCTTACAATCAGGTAAGACAACTATTGGTTAAGACATATATTATCGATCAATAGCTCAAACTCGGACGTTAATGTGCAGAGAATTGTGATGAGAAAGGTTTTGGGAATGGATGCAACGTTGATGGACTACCATGAACCAGGTGCTAACCCAAGCCACGAGCCAAGAAGGGGAAGCCCCGGAGGTCGAGCAAGTTTCAATCCATGAATTAATATTCAATGCGTTACATAAAGTTTCTGTAAATTTTTAAGTTTAATCCAATGAATAAAAATATATGATATGATGTATGTATGGATTTGCAGCACTTTATAATAATAATAATAAATATATGATCACCTTTTGAATATTTCATTGAATTTGATGTTATATTATGATGGATGATGACGTGTAACACGACAATCAAATCTCCAAGATACACGGTTTGTTCGTGAATGATACTCTAATTGACAGTATATGATGATGAAGATAAATTCTCGTACGAAACTACATAATCTCACAACTAGTCGAGGTCATGATATGAGTATCAATTTTTGTAAATCGATATATAAAATCTTGTTAGGTAGGATCATGAAGTTAATCAATATCAAAGTAAGCATGCAAGTTTAAAGATGACGAGGGTATCAGAGGAATCAGTCCACTGCTAGCAAATATTGTTTGCTTTGACCTGTTACGTATCGTCGTCAAGGAATGATTTGTTCCTCTCTCCAATCGATGTGGGATCTCATTATCTACTCCCATTGGAGGCCCCACGTTCTCGGTAGCACACCGTCTCGTGTCTAGCTCTGATACTATTTGTAACAGCTATGATTTGTTCCCCTCTCCAACCGATGTGGGATTTCACAATCTACTCTCTTGGGGGCTCAACGTTCTCACTAGCATACCGTCTGGTGTCTAGCTCTGATACCATTTGTAACAACTCAATCTCACCGCTTATTAGATATTGTTTGTTTTTGTCTCTTACGTATCGTTGTCAATCTCACGATTTTAAAACGCGTCTGTTATGGAGAAGTTTCCACGCACTTATAAAGAATGTTTCATTCCTCTTTCCAATCAATGTGAAATCTCGCTGTCTTAATTTGCTAACCCACAAAGTTTAAAACAAGAAATATAATAAATAACAATTAAGGTCTATACTTTCGGTCGAGAGGTCATAAGTTTGAATTCTTTCACTCTCTCACACGGTGAACTTTTACAAAACCCGTTCGAACTCATTTTTAGACGTACACGTGATTGCTATTTGACGAGTCTCGAAATGACAACTCGACCTTTTCTTTAGTTTTTGTGAAGCTGTAATTGATTTCAAGTGCTAACCATAATTGAAGGGAATGGCAAAGGCCATGGCCGTACGAACTCCACACTCAAAGGTGCAACAAAAAAAAAAAAGAAAAACATAAAAAAGAGAGACCAAATTGGTGTTTGAAGGGATAAAGCTATTCATGTTTTATGAATAGGACTTGGGAGACATAATCATTCATGCCTTTGCATTAAACTAATCAACATCATTTCCCCTCATGCCTCTAATTTTTAATACATATTTTATTCTTACGATACCCGAGTAAATAAGAAGTTCGAATGAACCGAAACCAATCTTGAAGCATTTGAGGTACTGTGACCCTCTAATAAGTCTACTGAAATTGGCTCTGTATCGATGGAATCTTACTTTAGTTGACTGTGACAGCTATTTGAGTCATATTTCAAATGAGTATCTCCAGCAATTTTGTTTTGGGCAGGCTGATGTCGGTCTTCAGACGATTCAAGTAGACAGGAGAAGGTCGGATGATATAAGAAAAATTGCCTCTAAAGAAGTGTACCTTCTTTCTCGATAGCTAAATCGTAGAAACTTTAAAGTTAAATGTGTTTAGCTTAAAACAAAGAGAACCCGGGACGTGATGTGACGGAGAAGGGAAAATATCGCTAACAGATGTCAAGAATTAGGGATAAGATAGAAATGGTATTTTTGAATAGTAGAGGGGCCTTTGCTATAAACTTTGCCGACAAAGCTAACTCCCTTCGTATAATTATAATAATATTAAACGTTAATCATATGTTTAAGTGTAGGGTTTTTTGCTAATTGAAGATTAAACCATTTTAATGGAACGCTACCTAACCCACACGTGTAAATGGATTAATATTAATTAATTTGTATTAAATATTTGCCACGTATTTCAGTTTTATAAAAATATATATATTATTACTTTTTTTTAATTAACTAAGATAATAGTATCAATTATTACAATTATTTAAGTTAATCATACCATTTTTAAATAAATTCCTCAATTTGAAACTTTTTTTTAAAATAAAAAATCATAACTTGCAAATATTTTTTTTGAAAAATGCTTTTATTAATTTTTTTTATAAAAAATTATTGAGGCTCCATTTAATTATTATTTAATTTTTTAAAATGGTATTTTTTTTTCCTAGTTTCATTTTTCTTAAATTAAATATTTAAATTCTTAGTACACCTTTGAACTCGACGAGCTGTAACTCACATGCACTCATTTTTGCTCGTTGGACTTTCTTAAAAAATAACAAAATTTTAATTAATTAAGTAAAAAATAAGATATTTGACCTATACGACATCAATAATACCATACTATGTAATATATCAAAGAGAAAAATTAAATTTTTTTTATAAAAATAAATAAATAATACCATTGTTTAATCGAGCTTAGATTATTTTCTTATTTAACTCGACATTAAGAAACAAAAATAAATAAATAAATAAATAAAAATTGGATAACAAGTAGAGTATTTGAAGCATGATTACATGAAGCTTTAATGGAGGTTATCATCATGACACTTAATTAGCTTCTCCTAATTTGGCTCCATTATCTTCCTTAATTACTTCTTATATAAAACCCTATTCTTTGTAACCCTAACCACCAGCTTCATCCACCTCTAATCCTTCAACAATGGCGTCCATGGCTGCTTTCAAGACCTTCATTTTCATCTTCCTCATCTTCACATGCCCTAATTCAGGTGCTTTTTTCACTTCACATGGATGATTTATGATTAGGGTTTCTCTTAATTTTATGCTAATTTCTTGTTTAGATCTGAATTTTTCAATGTTAAAAGGGAAATTAGGGTTTGTGTTCTTTTTTTTTTTTTTTTTTTGTA